AGATGCTTGTCTAGTCTCCTCTTAAAGACCCCCAAGGTAGGGGAGAACACCACCTCCCTTGGAAGCCCATTCCAGATTCTGGCAACCCTTACCATGAAGAAGTTCTTCCTGGTGTCCAACCTGAATCTGCTGTCTGTCGTGTTGTGGTCATTATTTCTAGTTAGTCTAAGGGGTGTCCTGGTAAACGGAGTATCTCCTATCCCTTGCTGTCCCCCCTGATGAATTTGTAGGCAGTCACAAGATCACCTCTCAGCCTTCTCTTGCAGAGGTTGTAGAGATTCAGGTCCCTCAATTTCTCCTCGTAGGGCCTTACCTGCAGGCCCCTAACCATACGAGTGGTCCTCCTCTGGACCCTCTCAAGGTTATCCACATCCTTCTTGAAATATGGTGCCCAAAACTGCACTCAGTACTCCAGCTGCAGCCTCACCAATGCTGCATAGAGTGGAAGTATCACCTCCCTGGACCTGTTTATGATGCACCTGCTAATGCATGATAAAGTGTGGTTAGTTTTACTGATCGCTTCATCACATTTGACGACTCGTGTTCATCTTGGAGTCAACTATGACTCTAAGATCCCTTTCTGTTACAGTGCTGCTGAGAAGGTCCTCCCCCAGCCTGTAATTGTGTTAGCGATTCCTTCTTTCTAGGTGCTGCACTTTGCACTTGTCTTTGTTGAACTGCATCCTATTTTGTTCTGCCCACTTCTCCAACCTGTCCAGATCCACCTGGATTCATTTCCTGCCCACTAGTGTGTTTACTTTACCTCATAATTTGGTGTCATCTGTGAATTTGGACAGAGTGCTCTCCATGCCCTCATCCAAGTCACTGATGAAGACATTGAACAGCACTGGTCCAAGGACTGAGCCTTTAGGAACTCCACTACCCACATATTTCCAGGTCGATGCCAACCTATCCACCACCACTCTCTCGGTGCATCCCATTAGCCAATCTGACCGTGTAATCATCTACGTCACAGCCACCCAGTTTATTTATGAGAATAGGATGAGGTACCGTATCGATGGCTTTCTTAAAATCCAGGTAGATTGCATCTACTTTGTTCCTTGCATCTAACCATTTTGTGACCTGGTCATAAAAAGAAACAAAGATAGTTGGCCAGGATCTATCTGCTATGAACCCGTGCTGGTTGCCCTTCAGCATTATTTTTCCTGGTGGACTCCCACAAATGTGATCCTTAATAATTTTTTCAAAGGTTTTCCTAAGAATAGAGGTGAGGCTAACTGGCCTATAGTTACCTGGATCCTCCTTTCTCCTCTTCTTGAAAATAGGGACCACATTGGCCCTTTTCCAATTGTCTGGGACCCGTCCTGAGCACTATGAATGCTCAAACAATTGTGCCAGTGGTTCTGCTATGACACTGGCCAATTCCTTCGTCACCCTTGGATGAAGATCATCTGGGCCTGCTGACATAAGCACATCCAGCTCCTCAAAGTGTTCCTTCACTAAGTTGGTGCTAACAGTTGCTGAGCTGTTTTCCCTCCTGTGCTCATCTATAATCCAGTTGGGAGACTTGTTCAGGAATATGGAAGCAAAAAACTCATTGAAGAGCTCAGCTTTGTCCCTCCTATCTGTCACCAATTGCCCTAGTCTGCCCTATAGGGGTCCTATGTTACCTTGCACCTTCTTTTTACTCCCTATATACCTGTAGGACTCTTTCTTGTCTTTCATTTTCGTTGCCAGCCTAAGTTCCATTGCAGTGATGGCCCTTCCAACTGACTCCCTGCAAGTGCGAGCCAAGTAGGTATACTTCTTGGTAGCTACGCCCTGCTTCCACAGCCTGTATGTCTCTCTTTTTTTTTTTTTTTTTTTGCTCCCAGGCTTTCCTGGATTTCCCTGTTCGAACAAAAAGGAAATCCAGGAATCTTAATCCAGGTATTTTAATGATTTGGATACTGGAAAGAGATCTTCATGAACAAATTTGCAGATGACTCAACTGGCAAGGATTACAGACACTGGAGGACAGGGGCACAATTCAGAAGGATCTTGCCAGATTGGAAAGCTGGGATGGAACTAACTGGGTTCAGTGCTGACGTGTAAGGTGCCACACCTTGGGAAGAATAATCAAAAACAAAAATATAAAATGGATGACAACTAGCTGGATGACAGCACTACAGAGAAGGACCTGGGTGTCTTGGTGGATCAAGATCTGGGTCTGTACTGTGCAGCTGCACAAAAGGCAGATATGATTTTGGATAGCATTAATAGGAGCATTAGATGCAAGATACATGAGGTGATGGTGCCTCTTTACGTGGCACTGAGGGCTTATCTAGAGTACTGTGTCAGTTTTGGGCTGCATATTTTAAAAAGAACATGGAAAAGTTAAAGCGGGTCCAGAGGTGGGTGACAAAAATGAAAAAAGGGCTTGGAAGGCAAGCCATATAAGGAGAGGATGAAGGAAAGTGCAGCTTGTGGAAAAGGTGATCAAGAGGGGATATGATGAGCCTTCAGAAAGCTGAAGGGTTTCCATAAGAAGAGGGGGAAACACTTTTTCTCTCTTGCTGCAGAGAGCGGGATGCATAGCAATGACTTGAAGTTACAGTGAAGTGGGCTTAGATTGGATATCATGAAACACTTCTTCCCTATTAGAACAGTGAGGCAATGAAATAGACTGGGCAGCTGTGGAATCTCCATCATTGTTTTCAGGAAGAGATTGGGTAAACATTGGTCGGGGATGATCCATGAGTACCTAAGCCTGTGGTAAACTATGGGTATTTCCCATGCTTCTGGGCATTGCTGGGTGTCATGAGGGACTGGGAAGGAAATTTCCCCCCTCTTGTTGCTACAAGTGTCAGGGGTTGTTTTTTTTTGCCTTCCTCAGACCTATTGGGGGTTGGCTGCAGCCAAGGCTGGGGATTTTGACTGGGGTGCACCAGTGTTCCTGCCAGACTCAAACTTCTGGAGGCTTCTGGTTAAAGGGTCTTGCCTCTTTGCCCAGTGTCAGCCTGATCACCACATTTGCAGTCCAGAAGGAATTTTATTCCATGGTCATAATATTACAGACTGCAGGGGTTTTTGCCTTCCTCTGTTATGGGCATGGCCGTCCTCTTTGCATCTTTTAAGTACATTTTAACAACCTTTGCAGCAGCAGGACATTGACCACTGTTGTGCTATGCTTTATCTGGCAGGTAAGGGGTGCAATGCTTTGTAGTTGTGTGACGGTTGATTGTGTAGTTTTAGAAATAGGTTAGGCAAGGATTTGTGTGGGATAGTTTGGATAGGGATAATCCTGCCTTAAGCAGTCAGTTGGACTTTTTGAGGTCTCTTCTAGCCCTATTTTTCTGTGACTCTGTAAAGAGTGGTCTTGCAGTCAAGGTTAATGGAGAGATCCAGGGTAAATTTCTTGCTCTGCTATGAAATCTGTGTGATCTTGGACAAGTCACTTAACTGCTGTCTACCTTCATTTCCCATCTGTTAAATGAAACTAAGCTTTCTTTGGCCTCTGGGGTGGATATTATCCTTCATTTTGCATTTGTACTAAGCACAATGGGGATCTGACTCTGGAATCACCAGTCACTACTGTGTTCCAGGTAACAAGGTGTTATATTGCCAAGGAAATCAGCTTGAAAATCAGCTTGTCTGTCTTAGCATGTTTCTGGTTTTTCTGTGCAACCTCCTGGTGTGCAGTTTGTAGTCACTGGACAACAATGACTGCATCTTAGAAATGTGAGTTCTGTGTCCTGTATTTACATTGATAAAATGAACCATTCATTATCTGGAGAAAATCTTCTCTCTTTGCTTTTTCTTAGCTGTGTTTCTGTGATGATAAAATTGGAGGATGGGAGATAATGGTGTTCCCCGTGTTCTGTTTGTTGTCAAAACCCATGTGTCCTGGTACATCAGGTACAGTTACTCTGTTTCTTTGCAGGACACTGGCATTGGAATGACGCAGGAGGAGCTCGTCTCTAACCTTGGCACCATCGCTAGATCTGGCTCAAAGGTAAAAAAAAAAAGCTTCACTGATTTCCATTTCCCTGATGATCTCCCATCCTGTATTTCATGGGCCGCTATCTATGAAGGACACTTTGTTAGGAGGTAAAATTAACCTCATGTTCCTTCTGAGTAAGGGTTGGTTCCTGGTTGAGGCATATGGTGCCAGGACAATATTAAAGAAACAGTTTTTCTCACCTATGACCAGCCTCTGTTATGAATCCTGTATCTTGTCATCACATTGCACCAGTTGCTAGACACAAGCTTCTTTCCCCCAGACCATCAAAGTAGAGATCAGGAAGATCTGTGCATGTCTGACACATGCCCAGGTGACAGCAGAGGCTAGTGGGAGGGGTGAGGGGTTGGTTAAGTGCTGTGCTGCTGGTGAGCTGTCATACTAGCTGTTTGCTGCTTTGTATGTTTACTGCTTTTTTCATTGCTGGGGTGACCTTGTTTCTGAGTAATTGCACCTTTCTTCTCCACCTGTTATGGCAGACATGGCCCTAGGCAGAACTTACCTGCTCTAGAGCTGTGGTATCTGTTCTTACTGAGGACTGGGTAGCTGGAGCTACTTCAAGTACTGCTCCAGAGAGTTGAGCCTATCAGAGCATTGAACAAGCTTCCTTCTGGAGGTGAATGTATCAGAATACCAGGTGTACCATGTGTATGCTGGGCACTAGGCTCAATCAGTCAGTGTAGGAAGACTGATCATGTGATGGGGCTTGTGAGGAGGCTGAAGGGGCCTCTGGAGCAGCAGAAGATTAGTGGACCTGCATTGTGGTGTTTCATTGTCCCTACAGGCATTTCTGGATGCCCTGCAGAACCAGGCTGAGGTCAACAGTAAGATCATTGGCCAGTTTGGAGTGGGTTTCTATTCTGCCTTCATGGTGGCTGACAAAGTGGAGGTGTACTCACAGTCTGCAGAGCCTGGAAGCCCTGGCTACCACTGGTCATCAGATGGGTAAGAGCCTGCAGAACTGGAAGGAAGGCCTGTGTGTCCGTGAGAGCAAGAGTGTTGTGAAGTTGCCCATAGTCCTGCCTGAGTGTGGACTAGCAGCTGTGCGCAGAGAGAGGAGGTGAGGTTGGGCTCTAGTCTTTCACAGTGAGGTGCATAACTTAAAACCCTGCTTAGATTACAAGTGAATAGCCTTTATTACAAAACTGTCACTATCACTTCTTGAGTCAGTGGCTTGGCAGTGCTAAGTCAGGGTAATGGTGCACTGGGAAAGTGTATGAGGGGAGTGTGTATGATGCCTGCTCACTCTGCACCTCTTTGCACCCAAGTGCTTCACTCTTACAGGTTTGTCAAACAGGAAAACCACATATGAATTCATGCTGCTAAGATGTGTTCATTTGGCACACTTGGGGACTGCAGCCATGTTTCCCAGAGAGAAAGAACTAGGGGTGCACTGATAAAGATTTTTGGGCCGATACTGATGGCCGATTTTTAACGAGCCATATCGGCTGATACTGATCTGATTGCTGATATGCAGCCCGGCAGCTTGGAGAGCAGTATCTGGCTAGTAAGTCTGTTGTGAGGAAAGGGACAAGTGGGGAGGGAAAGGGTTGTTGTGGGGGCAGACTGAAGTTTCCACGGTGAGGGAGGGAGTGGGGCAGGGCATGGGACAGAGCCACAGCTCATCTGGGGGGGGCGCAGGGAGGGCTGTGCTCTGCCTGTGTGGGGGGGTTGGGCTGGGGCAGGTGGCAGCGGCACTGCTACGGGGCAGTTATGGCGAATTTTGGGGTGGCTGTAATCCCCTTCTCCCCCCCATAGCCCTGCTCCCAATGCCACCGCACACCCCAAGTGCAGCCCCAGCCCAGCCCCCCTCCTGGGGTGTGTGCAGCAGTGGGAGCTGCCCCCCCGTCCCCAGATGAGCCGCTTGCAGCTCCATCCCATGCTCTGCCTCGCCCCACTGGGCAGTGCCTGCCCCAGCGCCAGACCCACTCCCTTCCCCACCACGGGGACCTCAATCTGCCCCACCCCATGCCCCCTCTCTGCCCCTTTGCCCCATACCCCATAACAGACTTACCAACCAGATGCTACTCTCCAAGCTGCGCTTCTGGCTGCCTTGGTGCTGGGGTGCACGCGGCGTTTTTCAGTGACATTTTCTTGGCTGATGTGTCTGATAAGCTGATTGCCGACAATGTCCATTTTCCTTTTATTGATGCCAATACAATATGGGACCGGTGTATCGGTGCACCTCTAAAAATAACGAGTCAAAGACAACATCAACTTCTTTTCCTCCATCCCGACCAGTAAGCCTCGGTCTTGCCTTGCAGAGACACCAAAGTTGAAAGGGAAATTCAGTCTCCATGGTCAGGTCAGCTCAGCTCTTAGCTTTTCTCTTGAGGTGCAACCACAGTGGCCTTCTGTACTGCTGGTATATATGTGATCTTAAGCCCTCTCTGAACTGAACTTTGAGGTGTGAACCACCAACTTTTTTCATGCAAGCTATAGGATGTCTGTCAGGTGTCATAATCTTGAGTTACTGCAGATCTGGGACTGGGTTAAGACGGAGCCCTAGAGGTGGAAAACCATATTCTATTAAAAGCCCTTAGGGAGAGAGAATGTGTTGAGTTACAAATCCCTGAAAACTGTTTTATAATGAAAGCAGTATAGCAGGTCAAAGTTTCATTGTGCTAAATACTAATTTGATGAACCACAAAAATGCTGTAATCCTCCTACTAGGATCACTGGAGTGTTGCCTGCCACTCCTGTGCTTTTCACTGGTGTTACTCACCATGGCCTGTCATCCCCAGTCCAAAGGCAGGTATTTTGAAGAAGACAGCGTGGAAGTGGCCATTGGTGCTAGAATTAGGCAACAAAGGGCATCTGTAGCCAAGTGCAGGTGCCTCACGGTAATTCAGAGAAATAAGCATAGGTTGGGGCCCATAGGTTTGGATCAACAAAGAACTGCCCAGGCAGCTTGGCAGGAGATTGAGGGTTGCAAGTCCTTTTATTTGAAATGCACAAGATTGTGACATTTTGGGGGTGTTGGTTATAGCTGTGTTGGTCTAAGGACATAGGCAGGCAAGGGTCTTTTGGTCAACGGTCTTTCATTGGTCTAATAAAAGATATATCACATTTACCCAAAGAACCTTTTCTGTCGAGGCTGATTTTTCTCTTCCTCTTAAACTAAATGACTCAGTGTGCAATGTGTTATCACTCAGTAAAGGCTGCTGGTATTATTTTGAAGCATTGTATGCCAGGACTTGTAGTGTCTGCTTTCTGGTATCTCCCCTCCCCACCCCATGTTAAGGTTGGTAGAGCTTGCATTTGGCAGTTCCTGTTACAAGCAAATGCTTTTAGGGTTGATTTTTCAAAGGCATAAGAAGCCTGTAAGTGCCCAGTTCCCCCTGAATTATAGTGGGAGCTGGATGCTGCGAGCGCTTGTCCTCATTGTTAAAACATTGTTTTTCACTTTGCCTTATTAATGAACATTCCCTGGAAACAGGGTTATATATAGTGGTATGTTTCTAATCCTAGGTCAGGAATATTTGAGATCGCTGAAGCTTCTGGTGTCAGAACTGGGACTAAGATAATCATCCATCTCAAAGAGGAATGCAAGGTGTTTGCGAACGAGGACCGAGTCAGAGGTGAGCAGGGCAGAAATATGCTGCTGATGTACTTTGATTCCTCAGAACATCCACTGACCTTAGGAGTAGGAGATAAAGGTAGGGGTGCACCAATAGAGATTTTTGGGGCCAATACCAATATTCAGTTTTTAAGGAGGCATATCAGTTGATACTGATCCTGTTTTTGATAGCATGGAGAGCTGCCTCCAGCTGGTAAGTTTGTTATGGTGGGGGGGGGTGCAGATCCCCCTCACTGTGAGGGAGGGGGCAGGGGCAGGCACTGTCCAGCCAGGGCAGGGCACGGGACAGACCTGCAGCTTGTGGGGGGGGCCTCCCCTTGCTGTGTGC